ACTTTTGCAAAATGTGCTATGAGATACTGAGCAAGTGCAAAGTAGCTTTCAAAAAAGGGCTTTTTTAAACATATCTTAAGAGACAGTACCTTCAGCAGTACAGGTCTGAGCAGTGTTTCAAAGAGCACAGAGACATATATTAAATCAAACTGATGGGGTTCAACAATGACATTAAGTTTCTCGTGTTCCAGATCTAATATCACTGGGATCTCCTCGGAACAAGTACCAGGTGAACAGACTTAAACGTCAATTTTGCAGATCAATGCAAACTATTCCAAGTTGGGAACAGTTACTACTGTGCACTGAATGAGAAGTCAAAGCACCTAATCAGAAACTGTTTCATATAAAAGTATGCAAAGGATAAATCAAACAGTAATCTCGTTTTGAGGAAACAGCCTTTGTACACACCAGATTTTTCCTGTGTTCAACAATTGAAAACAGTGCTTTCTCAGAAGACGTACAAAGCACAGAGAGGGCAAAGCCCAGCTCTGATCACTTAAGACTACAAGGGACTTGTGAGTTTGGATGCTTAAATTTCTGGACAGTCAGCTTGAGACAAGTTAAGCAGATTTTGCCTTACTTTAAAAATAATTAATCATTGTTAATGTCTCTGAGGAAGGGAACGTAAACATTCAGGCATACAGAAGCAGTAGCCTTTGTCAAAAAATTAGGCCTCACTGTTGATAGGAGAATAGAGGCAAGCCACAGAAAGTAGGCAGACTTCTAGCTTTTCACCTTTGCAGAATTTAATTGTAACCTTAATTTCAGCTCTGAGTGAAGTTCATTTTACTGGATCACTGACTGCTCTGTATAGAGCAATTTTTCCCCCTTTTGTTAAAGCTACCAACCTTTGCTCAAAGTAATCTCCTGATGATGGGGGAACCGGGAAGGTCCTGCTTTGTACTGGGGAATGGGCAGTGCCAAGGACAAGGAATTAGTTTTCTATTTTAAAGAAAAGGTAGGATTGCAAGAACATAGAATCTTGAGATGAGGAACAGGTCACACTGGAGGACATATGTATTATACAGAGGGTACACTGTTAAAGCTGTGTTTGGCAAGCTTTGACACTGGTTTGCAGAATACCTGCCTATTTTATGGAAACATTCTCTTGATCTGTCCAAGCATTCACTCTTATTTGCTGATTTTAAAAAAGATATAAGAGAAGGAAATGCTTCATATAAAGAACAGAACTTCTAAGAATCAACTGAGGCCTGAGAGTTACACCTACAGGATCTGGTGATTGCTCACTGCCAATTCTCATGACAGATCTTTGCTTTTTGCTATGACTTGTGCAACAGCGCCAGCAAACCTAGGCCCCCCCAAAGTGAAACCCAAGAGAAACTACCCTGTGCCCACCATCGCTCCCATGGTTGCCTCTGCAGAGCAGTACTCTGGAGGCAGGGGCAATCTGCACCAGGCATCACATGTCACCTCTGTGCATCCCTGCTCCCCATCCATTAAGGAGGGCCAGAGAAAAAACAGCTGGAGGAGAAAAAGAGAAACCAAATTAATTAATTCATCAATAAGACAAAACATGCACAAATCTCTTCATTTTATCTGTCAACCAGAGCCATGCATTATTCATCAGCTGAGGCAATTGAGGATGTGGAAAGAGGGGCTGTGAAGTCACTGCTGCAGGCTCTGGTAAAGCAGCTGACCCAGCAGGGTGCTAAATAGCTAAGGGGAGGCAGGAGGATTCATCACATGTGGACTTTCAATAAACACAGCCCAACTTTGTTCCTTCCTCTCTCCCACAAGCCCCTAGCAAAACAAAGAGGAACCATAACTTTCTCTTCCTATTATTTGGGGGTAAAGATTCTGCCAGTCTAGGAAGGTTCTCACATTGTAAAAAGATTTGTTCTGACTTGCTGAAGTCCCCTGCCTGGCCAGGCTCACTCCCCTGCTGACAGGGAGGTAAACCTGTTAGAAAGACTTTCTCCTTGAGAACATGCACCGTGCCAAGTTTTACATTTGCAGGTTGCAGCTCAAGTACCTGAAAGCACCAGCTCGGTGATTTCAGAATTAACTCTCGTAACACCAGCACTGTAATGACTGTCAGATCTGGGCTCAGTCCTGTTCAAGGTAAGCCACAAGAAGGTTTTCCACTGATTTTAAAGGAACACTAAACACGCTCCAAACAAGTGCTCATGCCTTGTGAGACATTTACTTTTCCTCCGTGCTAGATACTAATTTGCTTCTTCAAAAAGATTGAAATCCACTGGGATGTAGAAGAAAAAAGGAAAATATGTTTAAATACAAGACTGAGTCTCAGTGGTCAGAATTGCGGGGCTGGAAGACAACACAGCAGGGTGGCCACAATCCTGATCTGATTCCTTACAAAACCAGAATTATAATGCAGCCACCAAGTAGGGCAGGAGTCAGAATGAATTTTTTATTTTCCTCTAGCAAAAAAAAAATAATCAAAATCCCAGGAAACACGGGGAGTGCACAGCTCAACACTGTTACAAATCCAAATTCCAAGGAACTCTGTTGTGCAACAGTGAAAGAAAACACAACAATAAATCACGCATGTGTTTACAAGACCAGCTGTCTTTGTGGTCTCTTCTTCCTTTCTCTCTCAATCTCTTCTCTCTGTCCATCCCCTCCACCCCCTTACTCATGGCCAAAGGGAGTTTTCATGCCAGCTTTGCTACATGGTACAATTAGGAAAGGAAAAAAACCAAACAACTCAGGCTGGCTTATGTACCAGCCTAAACTTCCCAAGCTCTCTATTTCCCTTGATTCCTTTCTGCAATGAGGACACCAAAAAATGTGAGTTTCTCACTGAAGCTGATAACAGCTTTGCTCATGGCTCTTAAATGAGGCTTTGCTGGACTTTGAGGGCAGATGCAAAAGTCATCAACGAGAAAAGAACTATCCTTTCTTGACCAAGAAACAGACTGTGGACTCTCCCACAGCATACTGCCTGTCAAAGCCAACCACTATCACATTTTGTGACATCCTTCTCTCCTTTCCTCACAAGTGACCTGCGAACCAGATTTTGCTATTCCCTTCCATCACAGGAGCACTCAGCTACAGAAGCTGGGCTGTTGGAAACCCTGTGGGGCAGGGACTGGTTGATTCCCCATATTTCTTAGCACAACAGGGACTCTCTCACACGGTCCTCAAGTATTGCTGCAAATAACAGGACTCCTGCTGCTAGTGATTAATAACCCATAACTGAGTTTCAAATGGGTGGTGCTTAACAGATGGTCTTGATGTTTTGCATGGCATTGGTTCCCTTCCCATGTGGGGCCTTAATGTTTCTCTTGCATTTTAGGGTGGATGTGAACTTCAGAGAAGAAGTGGGAGATTGATAGGTTGAAAGGATAGCGCCACTTATGTTTGCAGAACTGGCTGCGCACTCCAGCTCAACCCATTTCACCCAGTGCCATTTCAGTCCTGAGTCCTTGCCTTTGCAGCACAGTGCTATTCTGCAGTGCCCTGGGCCCCCCCTTCCTGCTCTGCCAGAGCATAGACACCTACATTCCATAGCTTCCTATCACCCTCTTCCAGTGCCCTCCAGGAACTCTACCAAAGTACCTCCAGCTAGCGCAGCCCTGCTTCGCTGGTGCTCAGTTGTGACCTGCAGCATCCGTCTCCTGGCTTTGTTCCTGAGCCCTTTCCCTCTCCAATGCGCCTCAGCTTAGACCTGCAATACTGAGCTCCTTCTACAACTCTGCCAATGTACCTATAGACTTAATTGAAGGTCCATTCATCGCTGTGCCATTTGAACTCTTCAGACTGCTCTGCTGGTCATCCGAGCACTTATCCGTGACACTCCAGGTTTCAATATCCCTGTAGCCCTGCCGCAGCCCTGCCAGCACATCCTCATAGTGCCTGCTGCAGCCATGTCATGCGGCATTTCAACCAACTGTCCCAGGGCTCTCCCCTCCCTTCCCCTCTCCTTCCAAGTGTTCCTGTGCCTCATTTCTGACACTGGTTCTTCTTCTGGTCCTGCACAGATATGATTTTGTATCTGAATGCTCCTATGATGGAAGGCCAGAACTGACCTGACCTGCAGTCCTGCAGGAAAAGGGACTGGCCTTGGCCTGCCTGGCTCTCCCAGCTGATGTGGCTGAGAGCAGAAGCTAAGGGACACAGGACAGAGAGAAGGTGGAGATGAGGGCAAGCCCCCATGTCAGTCAGGCCTGGACCAACTCCTCTCAGGTTGGGCAGACTCAGGAGAGCTGGGCAAGAAGCTGTGCTGGCCCAGCTGTTGAGCATTGCTCAGCATTTCAGGGGTAGGATGCTGCCCGGTCCCCCTCTCACTCCCCCTTGGCATCTCTCAGACACTGTCTTCCTCTTCTCCTTTGCTGTCAGAGTGAAAACCCACTCCCTATTATTTCCTGCCCCAGGGTTTCCCAGGAAGACACTACCAGGCGCAAAGCAGGAAGCCAGGAGCAGGGGTAAGGAGACCTCGCCTTTTTCTTTGCACGCACCAAGCTACCCGTCAACCTCACCCAGACAGGCTGCGAGCAAGCAGGCAGGGCAGGGGAGCGGCGGCGGCGGCAACCCTGGAGCCCCCGGCCGGCAGTCCCACAGCGGGGTGCCCGGGAAAACGAGGGTGGCTGGCAGGGAAGACGCGGTGCTTCAAGGACCATGGCAGCCGCTACGAGCCAGGGAGTTAGTGATTCCTCGTCGGAGGACCCCAGCGGGACAGGAACAGATGCCCCTCCGCCAACGCGAGGAGTTCGGCGCCGCTGCCTGGCACAGAGCGATCCGAACCCGCCCCAGCCCCGCCGGCCCGCACCCTCCGTCCTGCTGGACCACACCGGCCGGGAAGTTGGCTCTGGATGAGGCGCGTCCTCAGCTCTAGGCTCTGCTCGGGGAGGGGCAGGGGAGGAGTGGAGGGTTAATAGGGAGGGGAGCTAACGGCAGAAATATGAGGGGCTGGGAGGACCCCCCTCCCCGGGAGTCACAGCCATCGTCCCTGTTTCCCCTCTGCTGCTCTAGTTGCTCTGCAAAAAGGTTAAAAAGAAACAAGCGTGGGAACCCACCGTGTCCTCCTCGGAGGGAGACAGGGGAGCGGTAGATAGAGATAGGCACAGAGTGGTGCTTGCTGCCGTGGAAGTGATGCTCATACTGAGCCTGAGAAACAGACGAGGAAGAGGAGGCAGAAGAAGCCACGTTAGAGGAACTCCACACAGAGCTGACGATACATCCCCAAAAGAGGGAGCACATCCACAGGGTCCAGGCGGGGCGGCGTCCCGGGCAAATGCTGGGGTCTATTCTCAGGTGCATGGTCAAGGCACAAAACACCTACAGACGGGCAGTCTGAATTCCAGCCAAGGAGAGAGAATAACGTTCATGATGCCAGGGGACCCATGCTAGCAGAAAAGAGAGTTGCTTCCGAAGCTCTAGGGGTGTGCGTGTGTGCTCAAGAGGCAAAGAGACAGTATGTGTGCGAGAGAGTGCTAGCAGGGAAGGGGAGGGATGGGGGAAGGTTAGTAACCACACAGAGACGAATAAGACGCGCCGTTTCCCAGGGCCGGATCTACTGTGGCAGGAACCCCTCGGCTGTACCGAGCCTCCAGGAGTGCGCAGGAAAGCCGCACATGTCCGCGCGAGGGTCCTGTTCGGGTTCCTCCAGGATTACGGGGTCCTTGAGGACTTTTCCCTGCCTGCGATCCCTGTCTCTCACTTTGCTGAGAGGGACTATTAAAAACGAAAAAGAAGAAATAAGCCAGAGACCTCAGGTAATATTTTGATTTTTTTTTTATCCCAATTCCAGGGGATTTCAGTCGCTTCTCCACTAGCAAGTGTTGCAATGCAGAATTGCTAGGACACGCACACGCGCGCGCACACACACACACAGAGCAATCTGGATTGTTATCCTCCTTCCCACGAGTCCAGGCGACCGAGGGATCAAGCCGATTAACCCTGCGCAGCCGGCGAGGGCAACGCCAGGTCTCCCCGGGCGGTGGGTCGGTCGGTCGGTCGGTCGCGGAGCAGCGGCCGTGTCCGGGCGATGGGTCGAGCGGGCGGGCGCGGAGCGAGCAGAGCCGGGGGCGGGCGCGGGCGGCCGGCGCGGCAAGTGCGGGCAACTCGGCGGCGCAGGTGAAGCGCAGCCGGGGCGGCCGGGGAAGCGTCTCCGCCAATGGGCGAACGGCATGCAAATGTCCCGGCCCCGGCCAGCCAATGAGAGCGGCGGCAGCGCTCCGCAGAGGGACTGGCTGACTCCGGGGGGAGGCGGGGCCGGGGGGCGGCACCGCCCCCGCCATTCACGCGCTCGTGTGGTCCCCGCGCGCGGGGTCCCGGCCCGGCGGGCCCCGGACGGGCTGAGGGGCCGCCGCGGGCAACACCCCGGGCTCCCGAAACTGCCCGCAACGGAGTCCCCAGCGCTGACCCAGCGGAGGGGAACGCCTCGCACCGTGCCGGGGAACCAGAGCCCGGCATACACCCCCACGGTCGCGGGGGCTGCCTGCCCCGAGCAGCCCCTGGGGAAACGCGCCCGCTTGGTCCGTGCGGGGACGGGACGCGCCCGCTTGCCACGGGCACCTCCTCTCACGCCGCCGTCCCGCTGTGCCTCGGGCGCCGGCCGGGCGCGGAGAGCAGCGGGCACGCGGTACTCGGACACGGCACAGCCAGGGGATTCTCTGGAGAAACGCCGTCCCCCTGGCCCGTCCCACTGCTCGTCCTGCGGCGGCAGCTGCTCAGGAGCAAAGGGAGAACCAGGAATGACCGCGCTCTTTAAAATTTCGTATGGCTCTTAGAGATATTTTTTTTTTTAATGCTCCTGCAACAATAGGCTGAGTCCAAACAGGTGTACCTGCACTTAATCCTCGGCGAGTGAGGGATGGAGCCAGAGTTTGCAGCCCATAAATTAATAAATAAATACATTATCTAGTAATTTGTTGTCAGTTTGCATGGCAAAAATCCCCAGCCACACTGAGTATGTCAGGCACCAGCAGTGAAGTGACTTACACAGGATCACTCAGGGAGTCTATAAGGAGCTTTGGAAAAGAAGCCAACCAGCCCCAGGACTCACTTTGCACTGCACTGCCTCCCTCTCCTTCATTTATTCATACTAACTAGAATAAACTGTTTATGACTGTAAGTTTTCTTGTTTTCCCCTCTAGATCCATGTTTGTAGGTGTGCACACATCCGCCTCAGAAACCTGCCGTTGGACTCAAGTATCTCCCTAACCCAGAGGTGCAATGTTTTCGGTCATTGATCTCAATTTGGTACAACACGACAGTAACTTGTAATGATCAGCCTGAGTTGCACAACTACTACTTCTAGCTGAGCCTGATATGCTTGTAATTTATTTTCTAGTAACTTATTTTACAGTATAAGTGATCTAAATCAGGGGCTAGAGCAGTCAGAAATGTTTTGGTGTTTTGCTGGGTTTAATCAATGTAGAAAGCAAGAATACTACTTTCACATTTATCCAATACTTGCCACCTAAGAATCTCAGAGTGCTTTAAAATCTTTTATTAATGAAGCCATTCAACAGCTTTAGGTATTACTTTGCCATTCTGCAGATAAGGAGACAGAGGCTCAGTCGTGTTGAGCCAGTGAGTGACTGATAGACATGGGAACTGAACAGAACAGACACCAGGATTCTCCATCCTAAACAGGACATGCCGTTAGTATAAATGTTTGACTGATTTGGTGGCCATTTTCTAGCCTTAAAGTGTGAATATCAGCTTTCCTCACAATGGAGCACAGAGCTGGAGACAGGACTGAGTAACCTGTGGTGCAGGTGCCTGCTGGATGGCAAATTTGCACTGCCATACACAGGGCACAGAGCAATTTAGCTGTGCAAGACAGATATTCCTGGCCCTGAGTTTTTTTTTAGGAAACTGAAGTTGTTGCCATATATGTGGTGGGATACCCAGAAAGATCCTGTCTTTGTGGGGAAGAAGCCCCCTGCTCCCACCTGGGAGAAGAGGAGGAATACAACCTTGCATAACGCTCTTCTGCAGACCCGTGAGTCGGTACCCTTGAGTCCCTCTCCACAGAAGTCCTGATTTTCTCTTAGTCCACAGTCAGAGTACTTTGAAATATTTATTGTGCAATTGAACTGTAGGGAGTCTGATTTAGGGGAAAGGGGGAAGGACGTGTATTAAATACACATTACTGAGTAGCTTATTTGTAAAATACAGGAAATCTGAATAAGTTTCAGACTCAGCTAGTTATTAGCAATGCAGCAAAGCAACAAAGATCTGCCTCTCATCATTTTATTACTTTCTGTTTTCTCTGGCTACAGCATTATGAAAAGGACAGAATGCATCACACATTACAGAATCAGTCAAAGGGACCACAGAGCCTACAGGTCTAAACATTGAGGACTCAATGCTGCTTCTCCAGAAGGTAGAGGGGGAAAATTCATTAATTTGTATGGAAAATAAATGTGATTTAGGAAGTGTAATTCTAGAGGAAACAGCAGGGGAACTACATGGATATACTCCTTGCCCCTTTCCTACAACTATTTGCCCTGGTGCTGAAAGAGAAGAAAATAGAAGTAGTTCTTTGTTGACTAAACTGTGGTAGCATCCTTCAGCTCTTAATTCCCCTTTAACAGTCCAATAGTCTCTTCTCCAAACTCAAGCCCCTGTACATGCTGGCCACTTACTTCTTCAGCTGCTGTGGGAGACAAAGCCCTCAATGGACAACAAATCACTAAGCTCCAAAAAAAATTGCTGATCCTTTCCCGTACTCAATCTGCCACCAGTCCTTCCCCACATACAGAGGTATCAGCTTAGGTGCAGGGGATGTACAAAGGAGAAAAGCATCACTTCAAAATGCCCTGGCCAAAGATAGAAAATGCCTAGGTAGTCCATAAACAGGAGAAACAGAGAGCTTCCCTCTGATGGGGAGTTGTCCTATGTTCTGCCAACCAACCTTCCTTTGCTGCAAACCATTGGGCATTAGGCAAAAACGAGAAAAGCCAAGAAAGCCAAACTGTGGGACTACAACATAAAAAGAAATAATAAAAAACAGGAAAACCTGTGAAGCTAGCTATAAATACATCGTAGGATTCTAGTGACACCGTAAAGTACTGGAACTTCACTCTGCTTTGCTTTATTAGGTGTTGGTGGATGTATTTACTGCCCTGTAGTTCACAGGTGACTCATTTATTTAGCAGCACCACTGCAGGAAGAGGGTAGATTTCAAATGCAATTTTCCTAGTTGGATGGCAAGAGAAAGTTTATAGTCATAAGTGATGTTTCAACAACATTACTGCCACCAGATTTACTTCAAAAGCGGCTGGTTTTGTTGTATTCATATTAGTTTAGTTAATCTGGGTAAAGATACAGTCCTTCTAAATGCTCTTATGTCTCCAGAACTGAGATGGATGCCTTAAAGGGTAATGGTTCCCATCATATGCTGCTCCCTACAGATATGAGAAAAGTAATCCTATTTCTTACATTTCTTTTACTAGAAGAGCAAAGGGCCACCATATTCTGCAAAAACGAGAAATAATAAGGCAATTGTTTCTGAGTTTTAGAATCCCAGAAAGAGAGCCAGTCAGCTTCAAGCCCAGGAAAAGTTTGTACTTCACCTTATTGGAGGGAGAAAGTACAACTCTGTTTCCTATTAAATCTTAGCTGCTAATTACTTTGCTGCACTCAGAAGTGAAAAATCAGTGCTGCTTTAAAATCATAGATCTCTCAAATTGGATCCAAAGGGGAAACTCCATTAGGTTTTAGCAATACAGGGTGCCTGACAGAGAGAGGACAGCTCTGCCTTCACCCAGTAGATGCTAACAAGGTACAGTGTTAGCTAGTCTTAGCCACAGTAAGGTTAAGGAAATAAGGTCAGCTAGAACAGCCTGTCACCCAAAAGCTTTACCCAGACTGAACTGTTTCTCTCAAGGCTCAAAACAATTCAATTTTTTTTTTAATGTACTTTTCCAAGAACAAGAAGGAGGGTGAGAACAGGTTTTGCTTATGATCTTAAAATACACTTTTAAATAAAATAAAATAAAATAAAATAAACCACAGAGGATTGCATGCTATAGAGAGCTTAGCACTGTCTTTAGGAAGGTTCCTCAAATACTGCTGGGGACAGCAGTGACCAAAAATCTGGTAAGTTCCTCAGCACTGCCAGCAGAATTAACTGCTCCAAGACTAGTCCCTGGTGCCCCACTGTCCTTGTCATCACTGCTTCTCTGCAGGCAGCCTCAAGGGGCGAGACCCAGCAGCACCAAAGAATTATCGGTGTTTGCTCATCCAGAGCAAAAGGGAAGGGTTGCTCCAGGACAGGGCTGAAAACCATGCACGCAGCTGCTGCTATGCAGTACTTTTTCTGTGTATAACCAACTTGCTGCAGTCTCTGTAGTTCTCAGTTTTATTCCATATCTTTGGGGGGGGGGGGGGCGAAAGCCATCTATTCTCAGGGCTTCTCTGCTTTTCTTTTGCAACCCTAAGTCCAGTTACCTACAAAAGTTGAGGCATATGCCTTAGACATTACCAGTAACATAGAGCAGGTCTTACTCTCTTTTCTGCTCAGCTCCACCAATTGCCACAAGCAACTAATACAGAAGCTTTGGAGCCTAGCGTTTTCTCATTTGTGTCAGGGTGAATAAACTCAACAGAGCCAGTAGACTGACATCAGTGAAGGGAGATCTGACCCTTGATGTTCATTTGTGAGAAGAGAAATGCAAGCTGATTACAACTAGTTAGCCTAGACTAGCAGTAAGTCAGCCAAAAGCAACAGTAACCACCGGGAAACAAATTCTGTTTTATCAAGCATCCAATTTAAGGGCCAAAAATCATGTAAAGTTCTGACTTTTCTGACACACCTAGAGTCCTATGTTGGTGGAAATAAGCAAGAATCAGTGGGTGGGAACACAAATGCAGTAACATATCTCATTTTGTAAAGCATTAATCAATTATAATTGGCAAAGAGGCAATGTCAGAATTTGCTAGTGCAAACTGACAATAACATGTTAGAATTGCCCCTGTTTGCTAGATAATGTATAAAGGACAATCCAGTGTACTCAGCACTGCACAAACTAACACAAGCTCTCCCTTTCCCGGAGAGCTTACAGACTTGCTGGAAACACATGAGCCAAC